CCGGTCACTTGACTTGTCAAGCCGTTCACTTGACTTTCCAACGTGTTGTTGGATTCTGCTGCCATAACCCTCCGAGTTGAGGACCGCCCGTTATAGTGTCTGGAGTTCTCGGCTAATTCCGAGATGAGTTCTCTCGCTTGTGAAGGAGTTTTGTTGACAATGCCCCCTCCACACGCCGCATTTACCATGCGGCGATCTTGATCCACAAGACCATCGTAGAAGTAGAGGATGAGGTCTTGTTCGGTGTATCCGTGATAGGGGCAACTTGCACATAGCTTCTTGAATCTCTCCCAATATTCATATAGGGATTCATCATCTTTTTGTTCGATGTTGCTTATTTGCTTCTTGAGTGATGATGAAATAGAAGCGGGGTAATACCTGTCAAGGAAAGCCTTCTTCATTTGTGGCCATGTAGTGATACTTCCCGAAGGAAGATAGAAAAGCCAATCCTTTGCAGTATCCGTCAGAGAGAATGGGAAGGCCCTCAGTTTGATTTGCTCCTCGGACACACCATTGGGGCACATGCTTGTGCACACAATATGGAATTCCGACAGGTGTTTGTTCGGATCCTCCCCTCGTAAACCATGGAATGATGGAAGGAGATGAATGAGCCCAGATTTTAGCTCAAATGTGACCCCCGTATCAAGAGTTGGAAAAGTGATACATAGAGGTTGTTGATCAAGATTCGGAGCCGTGAGCTCCCTCAATGTTCTCGTCTCAAGAGCCATAGTGATTGACTCTTCGGTCTCGCTAGATTGAGAACTAACACTTGATGATTCCTCCGAAGAAGTATTTGGAAATAAATTCCTAAACCTTTCGAAGGCTTGTTCCGTTTGGGGGGTTGTTCGGTAGATGATTTCGTTTATAGATCGGGTTCTTACCATAAACTCAAACAAGCTCAGAAGAAATAGAAATCTTTATACTTCAACTATTTTTTTTTTTTTTTTTTTTTAAGAAAAGTGGAATAAAAAGAAAAATAAATTGCCTTTCCCCGGCAACGGCGCCAAATTTGACGTGCACTTTGTCGTGAGTGCACTCAAAGTAAATTCAATACAACACTTATACGTAGTATAGCGTAGTAGAGTTCGTATCCACAGGGAAAGGAATAACTTTCTTTTTATATAAATAGTAAATAAAAGGGGGGGGTTTTGATCGAGTGATTTGATTAAAATTAAACACGAAGGTGAACGAGTTATGTGGTTTAATTCAAAGATAAAAGGGGCTTGGTATTGCTACTTTCCACTTGTTGATATATTTTAGTCGATCATTGTTATATCTATAACTTATCTCCTCTCGAATACTCAATCGAGGAGTATACCCAATTCATCGAGGATAGTTATTAACAACGACCGTTCATTAATAACCCTTACTATTAGTCAAGTATAGAACAACGTCATATACCGGCTTGATAGTAGCATTTAATATTTTAACTCCTTGATGAAATCAATTGAGATTGATAACCTTAACACAACGGTTTCGGTTTAACCAACAAAATTAATCCCTCTTAAGTTTACTAACCACGACCGTGCATTAATAAACCGAAGTTACTTACTTGTGAAACCATCAACGATTAACCATCGGTTCGTTGATCGTTTCTAGTAATAATTAATATTTGAAACAAAACTAGTTGATCTTTTAAGTAATGTTCAAAATATTAATATGAAATATGATTAGGAATTAATTAATACTCGAGGAAGAATATTAAAGGGAATGAATCCTACTATAGTTAAATATCAAGATGTTAACTAATTGTCATCTTAGTAACACTCCCCGATATTAACATAGAGGAAGGAATAGCTATTACTAAGACCAATATCAAGATGTTAACTAATTGTCATCTTAGCAACACTCCCCAACATTGATATAGAAATAGTATTTGAAGAAAGAATTAATATTCAAGGAAAGAGGTTAAGAGAATAACTCACAACTTTAATAATCAACAAGCTTCAAGAGCAATACCAAGAAATGGAAGTTTAGCTCCTCATTTGGAGACTAAACATGCTAAAAGAAATATAGAGAAATGCTATTCTAAACTGAGCTTAAGAGTATATAGGAATTGGTATCTAAAAGTGAAGGAAAGGAGGTGTATTTATAGGCTTTTTGAGGTGCAGGATCGAGTACTCGATCGAGTATATATACATACTCGATCGAGTATGTGTAGAACATCGAATTCGCCCTATACTCGATCAATACTCGGGTAGTTTTTATAGCTATACCCGATCGAGTATATAAGTATACCCGATCGGGTATAGACACTCGAACGTGGGAAAATCTTCTCCTGCATGTTCCTTTGTTTTCGGATCCGATCCGATTTGAAATGTCAACCAGATACCCGATCGAGTATATGTATATACTCGATCGAGTATAGACCAAAATCAGGATTTTTCCTTCTTTTTGTCTTGTACTCTTGCACCTTCCTTCACCATTGATCATTTGATTGATCTTGGACCTGTTTAAGCTCAGAATAAACCTAATCTAAACAAATTACAAGAATTTAACAAACTAAACTATTACACCGAAAGTGTGTAATTTCCGAGATATTAAACAACCAAAACTAGCTAAAAACGTAAATAAACACACGGAAATTACAAACGTATCACATAATCCGCTATAGTTTCAGAGTCCATCATTTTAAGCAATTCAAACTGGCGTTTTAGGGTTTGCAGTCTGGCTTTCTTTACCTTATCTCCGCCAGAATGACTTTGCTCTAATATCTTCCCGGCCTCTTGACTTGTCTTAGCCATAGAAATTTTCTGAAAATGTGAATCATCTACAGATTGGTGGAGAAGAAATAGAGCTTTGCAGTCTTTCTTCTTAGCCTCACGATAATCTCTGCGTTCTACTTCTGTTGGATGCTCTCCCAGACTCGGAATTCCATCTTCGATGACTTCACTAACTTCTTGGAATCCGAAAATCACTTTCATCTGTATACACCATTTGTCCCAGTTCTTCGCATCAAGAACTGGTAGATTAATTACCAAGAAACCCGCTTGAACTCGACATCGAAGGAGCCCAATCAGAACTCAGGTGGTTGCAGCGCCGTTCGCGGTGGTTAATCGGTCTGAAGGAGCGATGAGCTCTGATACCAATTGATGGGGAGAATAACTAACTCAACTAACAGAGAAAGATTTTTTATTAATGCTGTGTAATAACCACCACACTACACACACGCTTATTCTTACTACTTATAGTAAGATGTGTACATACACAATATCATATACATCACGCACAACACATATCACATTTTAGCTATTTTTAATTACATATACAACAGGTTCCTCAACACAGAAACTCAAAAATTGAATGAATAAATAGGAAGTATAAGTAAATGCCCTTAATAGGTCAAAGATACAACTTTTCTCCAACTTGTTCAAGATATTAAGTAAATGCCCTTACAGAGTATTACAATTTTGTTATACACTTTTGGAATTGTGGCTTTTTACATTATGGTGGTGTATTGGTGTCTCTGTTGCATATTGCTGAGAAAATGATGCTGGTGTTTTAAATAAAAATTTTGTCAATACATACCAATATTATACACTATAAAGATGGGGTGATGGGTGACAATTCTCTCATCTTTAGAAACCAGAGAATTGATTCAAAACCAATCATCATGTTGATGTGTTCCACATGCAATGAGCCAACCCGACCCAATAATAGACCAGACCAGACGAGACCAGACCAGAGTTGCATAATTATAAAATACAAAGAAACCAGACTAGATTAGACCAGACCAACAAATTACAATCCAAGTAAAAACATCTCTAGTTTAGTTTTATAATAAGTTACATAATCTTGTAAATATACACAACATTTTTAAAAGGGAAACTGTCAAATAGGTCATCGAACTTTCATTAAAAGGTCAAATAAGTCCTTATATTGGAGGCTCTGTCCGGCCATCGCGATTTGGGGCGGTTCCTGGTGGATATTTTTTTTACTAAAATTTTCGAGCATCTTATTCATCAAGTCTAGTTTAATCATGCCAAATTTTAGCTAAAACTTCAACCGGGAACACATTCAAATTAATTCTTTAAGATAACTGTGCAGTTAAATGCGCGGTTATCTTCAAGAATTAATTTGAATGCATTCTTGATTGAAGTTTTAGCTGAAATTTGGCATGAGTAAACTAGACTTGATGAAAAAGATGCTCAAAAAATTTCATCAACAAATTCCACCAGGAACCGCCCCAAATTGCGACGGCCGGACATAGTCTCCTATATAAGGACTTATTTGACCTTTTTATGAAAGTTCGAGGACCTATTTGACAGTTTCCCTTTTTCAAATTCTAAAATTGTGGAACGTAAGCGCAATGGGGAGTTAAAAGGGAAAAAGAAGAGTGGAAGTGCTTCAAATTACTCCTTCAGTCTCGAATTAATGATGACAATTAAGTTCAAATAAATTAATTTATTTTTAATAATAAGTAAATCAAATTAATTATTGAAATTTACATAGTTTAGAGTAACAATATAAAGTTTAATAAATCGTAAAATTGAATTTAATAAGATCATAATTTAATACATAGGTGTAAAATCAAAAATTAAAATAAAGACAATTAAGTTTACGTGATAGAAAATTTTTGCCTTTGAAAACAGAGAGAGAATTTATATTTCAAGTTTACGTGGCCTTAGTCAATTCCCTTTGTTATTTCCAAATGATTTTTGCATTTGAAATGAAACACCCAGTCTATTAAAAGAGTAAGAGTATATTTGTAATTAAAACCCTTCAATTATTTATATATTCAGTTTATGTTTACCATTATTTTAACTACTTGATTGCGTAGACCTAATTTGTAAATTTATTCTATAGATTTAAACAGTATATAATTTGCTTGATGAAATTGAAAATGACATAAGCCTAATTCTACCTAATTGGCCCAACCAGATAAACACATGGGCATCACCCATGATCTTGGTTATTACCCTATTAATTTGATTATTAATTTTATTTTATTTAATATAATGATAATGATTTGTGGTTAGCAAGGAGTTAGCGCAGGTTACCCATTACTATTCATACCTATTTAAACGGCACTTGCCTGAAGCTCATATGTCATATACTGATATACGAAGTATACGCTTTGGATACTCCATTATTAAAACTGAGATTGAATTTGCTTTGTGCTATCTTTTTCTTTGTAAGCTCCTGCATTCCTAAGACGCCAACTCAAGGTCTCAAGCGGTAACTTTTGATATATATATTTGTGTATAAAAATTCAGTTGAGTTTATTTTTTTTTTTTTTTGCTTTTCTACATTTACTTTTACTTTCAGAGGACTGAAGCTTGCATGGCGCGGTATTGTGTTTATATTACTAATTTACTACTCGTATTAGAATATAAAGAAACTTCAGCCCCATCTTTTTCATGAGTCTTTTGGTAATATCTAGTAATTAAACCAAAGTAAAGAAAGTAAATTATGATTAGAAGATTACATATTTTGCAACTGATGGACTTCATTTTCTTGCCTACACAGATCAGATGATGAAGATACAAGTTTTCTGCTTCCTTCTTACCTTGATGGCAGGCCCGTGCTTAGTTTTCGCACAAAACGAGCCGAGCTTTGCGTGTGACATCGACAGCAATGAACTTCTGGCCAACCTCACATTCTGTGACAAGTCCTTAGATGGGGAGACGAGAGTTAAAGACTTACTCAATAGGCTGACTTTGAGCGAGAAGATCTCATTTCTGGTCACCGGGGCAGGGAATGTGAGTAGCCTAGGAATCCCAATATATCAATGGTGGTCCGAGGGACTGCACGGTGTTGGGAGTAGTAGGGGTGTTAACTTCACAAGCCTCATCCCCGGTGCTACCAGCTTCCCTGCTCCTATTGTAATTGCTGCTTCGTTCAACCTGTCGTTATTTCAATTCATTGCAGAGGTAGTAAATAAATGGAATGACATTATAATGTAATGTTGAGTAAAATTGAATTCGTTTATTCTTAAGGAACTTGGGTTTGAACGGCACATTCTTTTGTATATATATACTGTGTAGGTGATATCCACCGAGGCCAGAGCAATGCATAATGAGGGATTGGCTGGTTTAACATATTGGACACCCAACCTGAACATTTTTAGAGACCCGAGGTGGGGTCGTGGACAGGAAACTCCCGGGGAAGATCCACTTCTTACTAGCAAGTATGGAGTTGCACACGTCATCGGACTTCAACAATCTCGTGAAGACCAACCGGAGAAACTCAAGGTGGCGGGGTGCTGTAAGCACTATACGGCGTATGATTTGGACAGATGGAATGGAGTCCTACGATATAGCTTCAATGCTGTGGTATGCATTCTTTAGTTTAACTGTTTTTGTCATTCATTTTCTTGCTTCTTTGGGACAGTGATCGATGGGATTAGCATAAGACGGAAAAACAAATGTTTAAAGTTAACCTTGTCTGTTTTGATAAATTGAATCAGGTGACTGAGCAAGATATGGAGGACACGTTTCAGCCTCCATTTGAAAGCTGTGTTCGGGATGGAAAGGCAGCAAGCTTGATGTGTTCCTACAACCAAGTCAATGGGAAGCCAACATGTGGCGACCCTAAGTTGCTACTTGGAGTGGTCAGAGAAAAGTGGAACCTGAAAGGGTAATTTAATTTAATTACTACTCGGAATTTTTACTAAACCCGTCCCAATCAAGCTAGTTGTTGATAGAGACACGGGCAACTTTAATAAAGAAGACAAATACTATAGCCATGTTTATTCCTATGTTGTAAGACCTGAACTAGACCTGGCGGGTCAACCCGGAAACTGGTCACCCGGAGCTCAATCTGGTCCGGTATCTCATCAAACCGCTAATCCAGCGGAACCCGGATTTACCCGGCTGCCCGGCCGAACCTGGACCGTGACCAGGATGGCCCAAACCCGGAATCATGTGCAAAAAAGTACATGTCCGAAGGGATTCGAACTTGGGTATACAGATAGAACAACCATCATCCAAACCAGCAAACCACGCTAGGTTGTTTGTTCATGCTAGTTTTTAATTGTAGTTAATGTGTTTCGGTCAAATACATTAAAAACTAACTAGTACTTGTTAATATAATAAAATTAATCATAATGAAATAAAAAAATATTAATAGATGCCAAGTACTATTATAAAAATGATAACTGAAAGTATTTACATAACATTAAATTTTTGTAATAGGCATGAAATTTGTATTTGTAGTCAATTTAATTTAAAACACATTTTAGATTTTGTTAAAACTTGTGTAATTTAGAATGATAACTTAATATCTATGTTGATCGGGTTTTCCGGCGTTGACCTGGTTGACCCTCCGGGTCCGGGCTGACCCGTGACCCAGTCACTCGGCAGGGTTGCTTCCCGAGCCGGTTTTTACAACATAGGTTTATTCTAGAAGAAGGAAGTAGTTTAGTTGTTATTTCTATTAACTACTTGTAACTACTTACGGTTGGGAGTTATGTCTATAGATAGAATAAACTAGTGAGCTGGGAGGTAGGCTGTTTTTCAGACGTATTGTGTTGGCTGGGAAGTTGGAGTATTATCTCCTTCTTTGGGACTCTCTAACTGTTTACACATATCAATCACTGTTGATTGTGTTCTTTATCTTGATTTCTTTTGTTGAGCTATATTTTTGTTCCAATTACTATCTTCATTACTGCGTAACTCTATCAGTTGCAAAATACCCCCATACTTTGATGCTTCTAACTAATGGGATTAAAAAATACTCATTGGCGTTTCAGATACATTGTGACTGATTGTGACTCTCTTTACAAGATGTACGCCATTCAGAATTACACAAAAACTCCAGAAGAGACTGTTGCTCTTGGGTTCAGAGCAGGTAACATCATATTTTCTTTATCCCAAACTACTCCTAGCTAGTTTCTCATAATAGCAAAGGCAGACAGAACTTGTATGTTATGGATTTCAATAACTTTGATTTGCTGTATTTTATTTATATACCTAGTATTTATTGTTAACATCTCCATTATGTTCATAAATTCATTTTATATCTTAGGAAATTTGTTATTTAGTCAAAGAGAAAAGGGAAGTGGGAATATCACTACTGGTAATATAATAACTTACTAGATTGGTGTTGCAGGAGTGGACATCAACTGCGCTACATTTTTGGGAAACTACACCCAATCAGCAATAGACAAGGGGCTAGTGAATGTAACTGATGTGGACAGAGCATTGACAAATAGTTTTGGCACTCTAATGAGGTTAGGCTTCTTTGATGGAAATCCTAGGAAGCAATTTTATGGGAATCTAGGTCCCAAAGATGTCTGCACCCAGGAGAATCAAGATCTAGCCCGAGATGCTGCGAGACAAGGCATAGTCCTGCTCAAGAATTCCATTGCTTCGCTCCCTCTCTCGCCCACCTCTATTTCATCTTTGGGTGTAATTGGGCCCAATGCCAACGCAACTCAATCCATGCTGGGAGATTATGCAGGTCCCGGTTTTATACTTTCTTGTTTGTGTAAAAGAAGTTCTATTTGACAATGGTTAAAGTTTTTAACAACTATCAAATATGCAGGCATCCCTTGTCAGTATATCAGTCCTTTACAAGGGCTGACAACAATGGTACAGACTGTGTACACACAAGGGTGCGATAGCATAGCGTGTGAGGAAATCAGCACAGATGAGGCCACGAAAATAGCCTCAGACTCTGATGCTATTGTCTTAGTAATGGGTTCTGATCTCTCGATTGAAAAAGAAGATCTCGATCGAACCAACATTACTCTTCCGGGAAAACAGTCAGTTCTAGTATCCGAAGTCGCTAAAGCTGCCAAGGGTCCGGTAATATTAGTTATACTTTCTGGAGGAGGCATGGATGTAACTTTCGCTGTTGATGATCCAGCTATAACAAGTATTATTTGGGTGGGCTTCCCGGGAGAAGCTGGTGGTGCAGCCCTTGCTGATGTCATTTTCGGGTTGCACAACCCAAGTGAGTATTTCTCTTTTCCACAAGAAAACATGCTAGTCTATTAAGCTTCGGAATGGTAAGAAAAGAAACAAAATATCGTCGATGAAAATGGTTTTCAATGTCTGGTTTTACCTTGAACATGCAATGAAAATTATATTTAAACATTGTATCCTTCATAAACAATTTTTAATTTCAAGAAATGTTTACTTTACTTTGAAAATTACTCCCTCTAGATTTTGTTTCTCTGCCAGTTTCAAGTTTCAAACCGCCCTTTAGGTTCCTAAATTCCAATATTTGATTCTAACCAATATACACTTGTTGTCTTTCATTAAGGTGGGAAGCTTCCGGTGACCTGGTATCCGCAATCCTACGTAGACGGTCTACCCATGACTGATATGCGAATGAGACCTGATCCTGAGACTGGTTATCCCGGCAGGACGTACAGATTCTATAGTGGATTGACGGTGTTCAACTTTGGCTATGGTCTAAGCTTCACAAGCTTCGATCATACTGTTCTGATTGGACCGCCAGGAACCATATATTTGCATCCCAAAGGAAGCCTTGTTTGCAATAGCTACCAGTGTGAGCAGACAGGGGTGGAGCAATTCTCATTTGATATGCAAATGCAAATCAAGAATACTGGAAACTACAGCGGCTGTGACACAATCCTCATTTTCTCATCTCCACCTCCCATTCATAAAGCTCCCCAAAAGCACTTGCTGGCCTTTGATAAGGTCTGCCTCCTACCTGGTGATGATGGACTCGTGATGTTTACAGTAAATGTGACTGATTTAAGCATTGCAGATGAGGATGGAAAAAAACAAATTCTCTTGGGAGAGTATGTCCTTCAGTTGGGAGAAAAAAGTCAAACTTTCAATGTGACTTCCTAATTCCTACTAAATATATGCATTTATGTTTTGGGATAATGTAATCAAGTATTCAAGTTCCACTTTAATTTACTTTGAGACAATCATACAAGTGATCGATTCTCTAGACGGCTTAGTTTTCATTTTCAAATTCTCTTGGGAGAATATTGACCATGTTAGTACTAAATTTATATATTCACCTTGTTGGTATATATTTTTACTTCATTCCATTGGGCGACATTATTCCTTCAATCATCACTCTTTAAGCACAAACTAATCAAACCGTGATTTTATTATATATAATGACTATATATAGAGCACTTCACAAAATATTAATGAGTTGGTCATTGTTTAGAATTTAGAAACTTGGACATTGTTTAAATGACTTTTTGGGTATGAGATTAAAAAAGAAGTGTATTTAAATTTGATAAGAAATTAAAAGATGTATTTATAAAATAGTCCATGTCATTAATTATGGAGATATTACCCGAAATAAGACTAAAAAGGTTTAAAAATTCCAAAATAGAACTGTCATGTTTTTATTCCCAAAATAGGACTAATTACTGTCATGTTTTGGCAGTAACAGACTTCAAACATGGCAGTATTTTCTAAACTTGATAGTAATTACTCCTATTTTGAGAATAAAAAACATGTTAGTCCTGTTTTGGAATTTCCAAACTATTTTAGTCCTATTTCGGGAACTTTCCCTTAATTATGTGTTGGGAATTCTATTTTTTCGATAATATGTAAGTATATTAGAAACCGAAAAATAGCATTTTACAATGCATCAAATCCAAATCAAAATGACTATCTAAGCTAGAATAATCTAACCTAGATATAATGCATCAAAATAATGGGACAGACCCCACTTCACAAATCACTAATTATAAATTAAAAGTCTAGCCCATCTAAGGAAGCCATAGTTTCCCCATCCAAGAATTATTTTACCTTCCTTCCAATCATACTTCCAAGCCGTCTTTTATACTTCTCATTGGTCTCACCCTTTCTTTTCCTACTTTTTTTGGTGGTTTTCAAGCTTCACCACCAAAAACACTAAAATCCCCTATTTAATCCCAAAAAACAATCTGAAAGGAGTAGTGAACTTTGAGTCAAAGCAAACTTCCCCTTTTTTCCTCGTAACTCCTGACAAACCTTCAAGACATTTGGCCGTGAATGTTAAGCCCTTTTTATCCAAATCATCCGTATGTCGGAGAGAAGTATCCACTCTAATTACACTATCATGCACGGATCTAAACGGTTTGACACTTAGCTTAAGCGTCTTACCGTTTATCATCTCACATTTAGTGACAACATCATTTTGCCTTACTTCACTTTCATCAATCACAACCCTCACGGCATCTTCCAACACGGCTTCGGAGGTTTTACCAGCTTGTTTTGTAGGCTGTCCAGCAGGCGTAGGAGCAAGAACCGCGGCAGTCGCAGTCCCCTGGGCAGGTTGTTGAAGCGTGGCAGCAGGTCGCACAACCGCGGCAGATTTGGCAGGTAGCTCAAGGGTGGCAGCAGGTCGCACAACCATGGCAAATTTGGCAGGTTGCTCAACTCCCTTGGCAGGTCTCTTAGGAGCTCCCTTGGCAGGTCCCTCAGCTCCCTTAGTTGCGGCAGATCCTTGGGCACCAGAGGCAGCTGCTGCATCAGTCAGGGCATGAATTACTGCAGTTTTTTCATGAGCAGTAGCCGGCCCAGTTTGCTCATTCCCTAATTTTTCATTTTTCCCCCTGCTCTGTTCTTTCTCTCTTTCTCCATCATCCCGTTTGGCAAGCTTCTTACAAATAAATGGGTGGTGCCCAAATTCCTTGCAATGAAAGCAAAAGTTAGGAAAAGTTTCATAAAGCACACTTTGTTTGATTACCTTTTGGGAAGGTAGCCGTATATGAAAAGAAAGTGGCGGTGGCTTTGAAACATCAACTTCAATGAGCACTCTAGCATATTCATTATTTGTCCTCTCTTGAGTGATCTTGTCCGTAGTAATTGGGACCCCAATCATAGATGCCACTTCACTCATAGCTTCGTCGTTCCAAAGCTTCATAGGTAGTTTGGGGAACTTCACCCAAATTGGTACTTTAAGAAATTCCTCATCTTCAAACGAGAAGTCTTCCGAAAGTACTTTGAGCATAAGAAGTTTCCCAAAAACATTGTAAGGTCCGTCATGTAGTACCTTCAATCTATCCTCCTCATTTCCAAATTTAAAGATTACCCATCCCTTGTTATGGGACCTCACAAGACATCTTACACCCCACGTAGCTTTAAGATCATGCACCGCTTTTAGTCCGGGAAATTTGCCGGTGAAGTGCCCAACTAGGCAATAGCCCCACATTTCAACCATGGAAGGTAATACCCGATCCCCAAAGTCCAAAGTTTCTCCTTTAGGAGGAACATATCTCAATTTGATGCCATGTGCCGGATCTCGGTTATCCTTAAACAGGTTTGACCATGGAGCTTTGTTTTCTGCCAGAGTTCTAACCTGACCAGCAGCCTTGTTCTGTCCTGCATTCTTGATTGCATCAGTCCCTATATTCCCAGGAATTGGGATATCAATTGTATCACAGGTCCCAACATTCTTTTTTCCTCCAGGAGTCTGGTCTAATGCTTCAAAGACAGCCCCCATCACAGCCAAGGTCGGTTGTTTTTCACTCTCACTCTGGTTAGTTTTGTTTGGAACAACCACTGCCTTTTTAACTTTGTTTCCAGAGTTAAGAGCTGGGAAATCTTCTTCCAAATCCTGTAAAGCTGCATATTTGGACCTGGTAAATCTCGTATTGGAGGAGTCCCCAACGGCCTGCTTCGTTTTTCCCATCACAAGTACCTGCAGCAGCACTTCAAATGACAAAAAACGCAGCAAACCTGGTTACTGCCAAGGCCAGTAAACTGGCGCAGCAGGTGTGTTCGTCACAGGTCTTAGGCAGCCTTCATCCCAGCTGAAATTGCGACCTGAGCAGGCTCAGTTCAAAGGTCTTAGACGCCCAAACCAAACACAACAAAACCCCAAAAGACGGAGAATAATCGCCAAACCACTTCAGTTCGCACCTAGCTAGACTCTGTTTTCAGAGCAGTAGTCTAAATAAGTTCCGTAAGAAGATCGTTTTCTAGATGTCCCTAACACAAATCCAAATCCAAAGTCGAGAGCATATTCAGAAGCATTTTCCGACCTTGTGCATGTTGTGTAGGTTGTGGGTCGATCAAAGGAAATAAGAATGCAACGGTATGCATATAAATCGGTGTGTTGGGAATTCTAAAAAGACAATGATGGAAACATAAGATTAGTTAGTAGTGGTATGCATATAAATCGGCTACTTTTGCGAATTAAGGTCAGCCAACCTCAATTCGCATATAAATTGGCTATTTTTAAAAACACATTTGGTCATCATGGTGCATTTTGATTGCTTGTATCGTTGTATCTAACATCCAAAACCTAAAAAAAAAACAATACTTAATTTCGGGTTTATTGCACCAAACCGCCTCATGAAAACTAAATTTGGCGTATTAGTCCCTCTAATTTAAAAAATATGTCAAACCCCCCTATGATATAGTTATTCATGCGCAAAACCCCCTCCAAGAAAAAATTTTATAATTTTGAAATCACTTTTCTTAAAAATATGATTGAACTAGTAACACCCGGGGCATGCCCCGGTAGTGTCACTTTGATATGCATTAAAATAAAAATAAACACCAATAAAGGTTAATTTAATTCACACAATCATATAAATATAAAATATTAGGAAAGAAGATTATATTATACGTACTAATATTTTTTTAAGATATGAGAATGATCGATTCAAAAGCATTAATGTGTATATTATTTATTGTAATTTTGAAAATAAATGAAAATATAAATGCGTTAAGTACTACAGAGTGTTCATAAGCTATAAACTAAATTAAAGTTTTTTGCACACAAAACTTATCGTTGTATTGCATGTACTCCTCCACCCAACTAATTTATCTTCACGCATTGTTATGCATTGGTTAGAAGTTCTTGGATAATATTTGCCACACTATCATTTTCCCATGCATGGTGCTTTCTTGTTTAGATATACACATGGTCCATGGATCATTGTGCTTTGCACTGCATTAAATAGCTCGTAGTCGAGATTCGGAACCGGGAATTCGACTATAATCTATATCATCACACTCCCTTAGTTTGAACTCTGGTTGTAAGAAGAACACAATATGGGCGTGCGGCAATCCGCTTTTTTGAAATTCGATCGTGTAGACCACTGCATGTAAAATGCGACATATAGGCAAATGAAATTGCTAGAAATATGGGAAAATCAAGAGAGAGAAAAGACAAAATAAGTTCTCACATGAATTATTTAAAGAAAGACTTCTTAAAATATTAGCTGCGAATTGAGGTACCATATTATTTCACATTAATTGCTACGGGGGAAAGGTAGGATATAGTCATAGTTGTTTTATTATTATTATTATTATTATTATTATTATTATTATTATTATTATTATTATTATTATTATTATTATTATTATTATTATTATTATTATTATTATTATTATTATTATTATTATTATTATTACTATTATTACTACTATTATTATTATTTATTATTATTATTATTATTATTATTATTATTTATTGTTATTATTATTATTATCTTTACTATTATTATCTTTATTATTATTATTATTATTATTATTATTATTATTATTATTATTATTATTATTATTATTATTATTATTATTATTATTATTGTTATTATTATTGTTTTTATTATTATTATTATTATTAAAATTATTATTATTATTATTGTAGTCGTATCATTGTTATATTTTTCTTTATTTTATCCAAATTTGGATGTACATATAATATTCTACTATCACTAAGAAGCATGATTTAATTAAATATCATAGTAAGTGAAATGTTACAATATAAAAATGTCATAAATGTGTATTTGTGAATAAAGGGAATAAAATTATTTTTAAAAGTATTATGTTAATAGAGAAAGTAGAGGGTTGATAAAATAATCTAAGGGATGGTAAAATAATTCACTAATACACATTTATCACATTTTTTAAAATGTAATTATAAAATTTTTAGGACAATTGTTTTTGTTAATTATAATTTTTTTAATGTAGTTCACTTTATTAAAAATGTTAGAGCTTTGGATGTTTTTTACTATTTATTTAGTGTTTTATGTTAGACATCCACCTACACATTCCATTAGTCCATCTAAAATATATTACACAGATAATACACATTATTAAGA